GGCGCCGAGGAGCCCCGCCGGGCCCCGGCCGCCCTGCGGCGCCGGCCACACACCCGCAGCAGCGGCACGCAGACCGTGGCCGACAAGAGCACCCAGACGGCGCTGCCTTATGTCCCGGCCAAGCAGAGAGTCAAGAGCAAGAACTGACGGGGGGGACGGGGCGGGACGGCTTATATATATATACATATATATATATTTAAATAAATCAATAACTGATGGTAAAAGCGATGTGAGAAGGTGGCAGAGAGGGGAAGCTCCATGTGGCCCTCTTGCCTCTCAGGGAATTTTCAGCTGTTGCACAGACAGTGCCAAAAAAATGGTATCGTCCCCAAAAAAGTGGTGCCATGTCACAAGCATCCAGCCACGCGGGCCCCCAGAGCAGTCACCAGAGCCACCAGGTGAAAAAGCTCGGATAACTCCAGGGAAGACATGTCACCATCCTCTTGATGCCAGGTATCGATCTGCTACTGCTTGCTAGCCCACACTTGCAATGCTCGGTGGGTTTCCAGCTCTCCGTTCCTGAGAAAAAAAAAAAATGCAGGAAGCTGCTCCCAGCGGGAGGACAGGGCTTGTGAGCAGGACTTGGGAGTTTAGTGTGTGTGCACTGCTCACTTCCATATAAAATAAGCCAAACAGAAAGCCAGGCTTGCCAGGAAGGGCCCCGAAGCAGCAACAGGGAAGCCAGGCGGCAGCACGAGGACGCTGCATGAAAGTCTCCTCAGAATAAACTTTCTCAGCACATCTTGCTTTGGCTGGGGCTGAAAATAGCCCGAGCTGCCCATGAGCTGCCTGCCCAGCTGGCCCGTTTCCCGGGCCTGCAGTTTTCCCCGCATCCGTCCGTGCCCAGCCGGCTCCCACTGCTGCACCGGCGCCCCGCGCTGCTGGTGCTCCGCACGGTGCTTCCTGGGATGCAGCGAGCCCGGCTGCTCCTGGCCACCGGCACAGGCACCATCTCCTTGAGATGTTTCACTCCCCAAGAGCTGCCCTGGGCCAGGAGGAGAGTTTGTACCTGCCAAAACGTGCTGGAAAAAACCTTCCCTGGCAGCTGCGAGCCCGGGGCCAGGAGGCTCCCCAGATCCCTCTCCGTGCTGCTGCTCCTGTCTCTCTCCCCAGCGCAACCACCTGCAGCTCCTGCCCGTGCCAAGGCCACGGCCTCGCGGTGGCTGCAAGAAGCGCCGCAGAAGCGCAGCCCAGCAAGGCGCAGGCCTGGAATGGGTCCTCGTGGCCACGAGGCGCCAATTAATCCTCATTTGCACCCTGGCACTCACCAGCCTTTAATTTGGGGTGACAGCTTCCCTGCGCTCGCAGGCTCAACAGCTCAGCCACGGCCCGGGGCAGCCCCCGGCCTGCTCGCTTGCCTGTCAGAGCAACGACGGGGACATCACATGTGGTGCTGCGCAGGTACGGCCCTCCTGCAGCTCCTGCCTTGCCCCCAGCAAGAGGGACCAAGGGATGGATGTCCTGGGTGCCGGGCAGGGGCTGCAGCAGCCAGGGTAGGACATGCCTGAGGGCTCAGTAGAGAGTCCCATCACAATTAGGGGATCAGCCAAGAGTCCCAGCAGGTTTGGGGTGATGCACCAGGCCCAAGAGCAGCCAGGAAGTCCATCCGCACCAGGACCGCAGGGAGCTAGGGCCAGCGGGAGGGCAGAGCTCCTGCACTTGAGGCACCAGACTGAGCTTAAATAGGGCTGGTGAGCCCACGGGGAGGCCCAGGTGAGGGGCTCAGGGCCATTCATGGCAGGTTTCTGTCACTCATCTGCTTTCGCCTGTTCTGTCACAGCTGGTGTCACCCAGCAGAACGGGAAACAATATCGGCAATGCCAAGAGGCAGCAGTGCCTCTGCAGCACGTCACCATAGCCAAAGACACGGGGTTTTCTCCTCCCCTGACCAAACCGTCCCCTTCCCAGCAGAGTTCAGCTCTGGAGGCACAGGGCAGCTATGGCACCAAGATGGTCGGGCTCGGCCACAGCTAGATCAGTGCTGAGATGGCAGCGAGACCTTCTGCTGGCCACAGGCACGCACAGTCAGAGGCCGGGATCCACTGCCAGCGCGGGAGCATTGCCTGGCTTTCGGATAGGGGTGGGTTAAGGACGTGCTTTAGCCACTTCGGCCTCTGTGCCCAAAGGTGTCCCCCTGCTTCAGCCGGGCTCCTGTCCTCCCCTCTGGCTGGGAGCAGCAGCGGTGGGGACGGGAAGAGCAGACCAGGAGGCCCAAGGACAGCCACCACCGCTGCTTTCGCGCACTGGGGAAAGCCAGGGCCTGCCAAGTGGCATTCGGGGGCTCTCCCACCGCTGGGTGGCAGTGGGCACACGCGCACACTTGTACGCCCTGCACGCCCATCCCCACCGCCTCAGGCCTTGCTGCTCCGCCGGGGTGCTCGCAAGGAGCAACGGGCATCACGTCCCCTCCTGCTCCTTGGAGGATTCAAAACACCCCAGCACCATCCCCAAGGAGGGGAAGGAGCCTCCGCGGGAGAGCACGGGGCGCAGGCAGCCCTCCCAGCAGCGGGACATGGCGGGAGCAGGGAGCAGCGGCCGCGGAGCCCGCGGGAGCGCAGCTGCGCCGGAGCAGCCCTGGAGGTCCTTGTAAGACAAGGGATGACATGCTTGATGGGACTTCTTAATTAGATCTCGCTCAGCCAAAACGTACCGGGGCTCCCCTGGCGGAACAGCGTCAGACAAAACATTAATCACGCTCCAAATAAATAATTAAAATGTTGTGGCTCTTTAAAAAAAGAAATCAGGAAAAATTAAAGCCATCGGTCCCAGCCCATAAGGAGGACCATGGGCACTGGGTGCAGAGATGCTGCGTCCCTGAGAGCAGAGGATCAGCCACAAGGTTGGAGCAAGCAGGAGCCTGGGAAGAAGTCATCAGCATGGTCCAGACCACGGGAGCTGACACGGGGAGAGCCAAAGTCCCGAGAGGCGTCAGGATGGGGTTTAAGATGCCCAAACTTCTGCATTAAAACACATTTATCCACAACCAACATTTGTGGCCTCAAATGATAGAAGGCAAATGTGCTCCATGCCAACACCGTGAACACTGGCCACGTGCCCTGGGGTAAAAAAACTCCCCTCCTTTGGTCTCGTGCAGTCTCATGAGATTATATCCCTGCTCACTTCTGCCCAGGAATGGCGGCAAGGTGAGAGGGGAAGCAGGAGAGGGGTGGTGAGAGATGAGGCTGCTCCGCTCCCAGAAAGCCTCTCCTTCCCTGCCAAGGAAAAGCGGTGCGAGAGGAACACCGTGCGCGGCAGGTCCCCAGAGCAACTTTCCTGCTCCCAGAGCATCCCCTTGGGGAATTTCTTTCCCGAGAGGAATGAAGGGCATGAGAGGAAGCAGGGGATGCAAAAGGGCTCTCTGAGAATCACCAGGCTCTTCAGGGGTTCACCAGCAAGAGCCCAAATCCTGGGGGACTCAAGCTGGAAAATCCCAGTAGGAAAAACTTCTTTACCTGGCACCTAGGAAACACTTGAAGAAGGAGAAAAAAGGAGAAGAGGCTTCACAAAAGCAAATTCTCCCCCCGCTCCACGCCCTCGTTGCTGGAGCGGAGATGAATACTCGGTATAAGCAACAAGGAGCTTAAATTATACATGGAGCTATTTCCGTCGAAGAAGATGATGTAGAGGAAGGCAGGCTCGCCCGCTCCCTGCAGCCACGCAAACACGCTTGGGACGGGACAGAATTTGCTCCCTTGTAGCACCAAAAACGCAGCCGGCGCCGTGCTGGATCTCATCCCGGCCCCTCCGGGAAGGGATGTCCCTGTGCTCCGATGCAGCCGGGCTGCCAAATCCTGCCCTGGGGCTCCCAACAACCGCAGCACCCGGATTGCAGGGAGTAAAGGCTCAATCGCCCCTTGCAAGCCCAGCACCCAGCTCTTTGCATCCCCGCGATGGCTCCAGTCCTGCCAAGAGCCCAGCGGAGGCTCTGACACTCACTGGGAGAAAAGGCCTCCCCCAAACCGCCTTTATTGCGTTAATATTTGCAGGTAATGAAGTTAGATAGCACTTAGAGTCCCGATCAAATTAGGAAAGCTATAATGAACAAGAAGTGGTGCATTAATTCATTAGCAGCGAATTACACTAAATTATCTCGGCAAATAAGGCAAAACTTTAATTTACCAGCGGTGTTTTCAAACGGCTTTTGCTCCTTGCCTCCCCTTTGCGCCACAGTGCATTTTTTTTAATGACAGCCAAAACAAGAGAAGAGAATTAAATCCAGCTCTTCGGGGAAACAACTTGGTCACTCATATGGGAATAAAGAACCAAAAGCAGCACCAGGAATTTTCCTCCTCATCTCCTTTTCCAGGTCCATTTTCCAGGCAGAAAATGGCATATAACAAGGGATGAATAACAGTAAATAACCTGCAGCACATTTTCTAGGGCATGACCTCAGAGAGAGCTCGCCAGGGCAAGAAAAACCTTCCCAGCACCCCTGAGCCCTACTCGGATGGGCCAAAAACCACCTCCTGCAAGAAAATAGGTATTGTTTACACCGACCTCACGGGAAACACCTTTACAGAAGTAACTGCTGGTAAAAACCGCCCCAGCAACGAGTCCCAGGGCTTAGAATAATGTTCTGCTTTGCTAATCGCCACGGCCGGAAAAAATCATGTAGCAATTTCCTTGGACATCTGCAGACAGCGCATTAATAATGGATGTCTTTGGGAAATTAGCCCTGATAGAGAACTGCCAATTTGTCCATGTTTAATATATAAACGCGGGCATCAAAGTTTAATACCTGCTTCAAGGGGGCGCAGACCTGCGTGGCCTCACAAGGGCCCCATTCGTGTCACGTCCTCAGCCCTGATGGACACAGGGAAGAGGCACTTGGCAGGGACCTGGCAGCCTCACGCAGAAGCAGAGGCAACGCAGCATATCCAGGGGTTCTTCCTCTTCCCCCATCAGGAAACAGGGTGGAAAAACACTTGCTGGTCCCCTCTCCACATCCCCACTCCCCATAGGCCTGCTGCCTATCTGCAGTATAAAGCTGTATGTATATTTTTCTTTTCTGTGTTTTCATTGCAGCATTTTTTTCCTCTCTCTCTTTTTGAGATTCTTTTTAAGGGAAAACACGGTTCCTCCTGCATTTCCACAGCGCCTGGAGGAGGTGATTCAGAGACCTGGGGGCGCAAAGACCCCACGAGCTGGGCTCACATCACCCTCCCTTGCCCCAGAAGGCACCTCAGGCAGAAGCAGGATCCTTGGGACACCAGGGACCTTATCCACAGGCACGAGCCAGGCGCGTGGCCGCGGCGCTGGGCTGTAAGGAGCCCTTAGATGCAGTCATCAAGCCCTTGAGCCTCCCGGTTGAGAGAGGGACAGCACAAAGGCAGAGGTAGGTTTCAGGTGCTACCAGAACCACCAGCCAACAGATTCAACAGCTAAACTGGACAGTTCTTCCTTGCCCTCCTTTTTTCCCTCCATGCTGTGGCTGCAGTACCTGCAGCCTGGCAGACAGGGGTATTTACATTTTCTCCCCACTTCCACAGAGCAAGTTAATCTTCTGACTACAAGTTTCCAAGTGAACACAGCAACTCATTATTTTTTATCCTTAAATTTCTTTAAGATGCACCTGATGTTCTTCTCTATAAGAAATTATTTCTTTTAATTGTCTTGAAGGCCACTTATAGCATATCACCAGCATCTCCATATAATATGCCACTTACAGCAAGCTTAAAGACACAAGTGAGTAGCTGCAATGCATACTTATTTCTGTCATTAATCGCTACAAATTGATTGTTCTGCCAGCACACGCAGCTTCCTAATTAATTCTTTACGCAGGTGCTTGTGTGTGCAAGAGAAGTGAATGCTAACAGAGTGCAGACCAGCAGGTAGGGCTGGGAGGTGCAAGGCCGACGGGGGCTGCAGAGGAAGGGCTTGCTCACAAGCAGGGAAACGGGCCATCCCCTCCAACACATGCTGCAGGCTGGCACCACCACGGATGCCGCTTTTGCTGCTGGTTTATGGTATCTTAGCCTTGGACATCAGCTTCCCGGGGCATATGTAGTGCTGGAGAGCAAGTGATCCGACATCCGTCTCCTGGAAATGGAAGGACCTCCCACTCTCCCAGCAGGGGGAGAGGAAAGAAGGTAGCACTGTTTGCCTCTAGGTCTCTTCTGCCTCCAGCTTTGGTCCCCTACTCTAAGCCAGGGTTCACCAGCTTCCAGGTATTCCCAGCCCAGCAGTGAGTAAAGCCAGGGATGACACAGCTGGAAGGCAGACAGCCACCAGGCACCTCTCTGCTTCCCTGGGCAGCCCAGCACCAAGGCAGGAGGCAGCAATGCCACCCACCACAAGCCTGCAGCAGGGCCCAATCTGTGCTGCAGGGCCCTGCTCTGGAGGAGGATGAAGCCCCCAGTGCCTGTGAAACCTGTCACCTCTGGCTCCCCAATACTCCCAAACCCGAGATCAGGGTAGGCTGATGATCTCAGGGCTGTTTCTCCACAGAGGCCTTTCCCTTCTCTACCTTTTCCAACCTGAAGGAAGTCAGAGCAACACCTCATCTAGCCCCCCTCTCCTCCTCCCCCCATCCCAAGGTTTCCCATTCCTTCCTGCTCTTGGCTATTGAGGGAGAGGGGAGGCCAGGGCTGAGGCTCTCCCTGCTCAGCAGGGCCTCTGCATCTCTCAGTGTAGCTCCTGTCTCCACCTCCTGCAGCAAGGCAGCCCCTTCAGAGATCCTCCTCCGTGGAGGAAGGGAGAGGATTCACTACTGCAGCTAACACACAGGAAGCCAGCGCTAGGCCTGGCATTAATCAGACAAAGCCTAGGAAGCAAGAAGGTGCTTTAACCACTTGGTTCTTTAGCCAGAGCCCAGCTCACTAACCAGGAGCAGAGACCAGAGACTCCCAGGTGGTTTCCTCTTACTCCAGTAGGTAAGGGCAAAAAATATATATATTTATTAATTCTTACTACTTGTGAATCTATGGCTGTGTTAAAACAAGCTAAGAGCAAGAGCTGCACAAGGCCTGGCTACTGGGGGAAGTTGATGTTGCTTTATAAGCAGCAGTGAGTGGTGCACAGCACTTCCTCAGCTGGGAACCACATTGGACATGAGGGGACAAGTTGCATGACCAAAGCATGGACTCTACTGGGCTGAGCCTCCTCTTCCAAGAAAGAGGCCTCAAAAGAGGATCTGAGCACTTCAGGATTAGTGCTAAGAGGATCAGGTCCACCAAGACTCAGCCCCACATATGCAGTGCCAGGGGCAGCAGAGGAGGCAGACTGGCCACCCCAGCACAGCCAAGCAGGGCATAAAGGGGCCTTAATGAGCCTGCTTGCTAATTAAGGGGCTCCTCTTCACTCCAACAGAGCCACCATTCTCACCCACATAGCCGCCATTTGCAGCAAGAGAAGCTCATGACAGACTCAATGCCCAGAGAAGCACAGGCCTCAGCCAAGCTCATTACATATGGCCACTGTGACAAGAGAAGGAGGTCCTGTTCAGGAGCAGGATTGCTTAGGAGAGCAGGAGAAAAGTAAGATTTTGTTCATCTCTAAAGTTAGGACAGGTACCACAACACATAGCAGACCACCTAAACAGGAGGTTCTGCAGTTCACTACCTAGCTGGCTCTCCCCACCTTCAGGAGGAAGGGATTAACTTTTAGAAACAGACTCTGCTACAAGCATCACATCTTGGCCACATGCTCTCAGTTGAGCCTTGGGGAACATGTCATCTTGTCAAGGTAAGATTCAGAGCATCTTCAGCTTCTGTAGCTTCTCCAAGAACCTTGTGCTTAAAGACAGGTTTGGAATCATGACCTGGGAAGACTTCAGCCCCCAAAGCCTACAAGGCTGCATTGTTATTGCACCTTATTTCAGCACTGTTGCCAGACTCATGGAGGAGAGAACCTGGAAAGAGCTGCTCTGAGCTCATCCCAAGGCCCTTTCCTTCAAATCCTCCTGCTTAAGAAAAGAGACTCCAGCTCAGCTCAGAGCACTGCAGCAAGAGGCAATAACCCACATCCCACCTCCAGACTTGACTCCAGAGGAGGCCTGCAGCCTAGTATCTGCAGGAGACCCAGTGTCAAGCCTGCTGGGTATCCCTGCCCTTCCCTCAGGAGAAGACAGGCTCAGAGAAGAGAAACACTGTTTATTCCAGGGGGGTTACAATAACACTTCCACAGGAAGGCAGCTGCATTTTTTGCACACTAGGAATAGTGCAAGGGCAGTTAAGCTCAGCACAGTAGCTGCAATGAGCATGACAACTTGGACCAGTGTAGAGAGTCCTTCAGCAGCACCTAGAAGAAAGGAGACCCATTTACTAGGCATTTAATGGCTTTCCACTGCCAGTGCCTGGACTCAGGGCAGGCAGCTTTGGAAAGGAGTCCCCTAGTCTGAAGTGTCTGACTTTGTCTAGCAGTGAAATCATGAGGGATTTGGGACTAAATCATCCTGAAGTCACCTTCAATGGCATTTAAAGTATGTTCATACAGAAAAAAATCCATACCTTGTGCAGTCTTCCCTGCTGGCAAGAGACCTTCTGAGGAGCTCCATAATCCCCGAGCTGGATCAAGGATTATTAGGGGTCCAACTGATATATCAGCTTCCAATCCCTTTGAGGACCCACCTAAGAAGAGACACACACAGAGTTCTTAGGGAAAGCAGCTCACACAGTCTCAGGTAGATCTGCCAGATGTGTAGTCCCTACAGAGTCAGGTTCACAATAGTTTTAAAGATGAGAACATATAAACAGTTCCTGGCTCAAGGACACTAAAGAGCAGCTTGTTTTGTCCTTAAGATTAGATCTTCTCTAAAGATCTTTCAGCATCTTTGGTCATGCCAGCCTGAAGAGTCACCCAGCCTCGGAGGCCGCCTTGGTCCTACCTCGTCCAGAAGGCACAGCTCTTCTCGAGCGCCTCTCGGGCCGCCTGGCCAGGGGGTTGGCTCTGCGGGAGTATCCTCCCTGCAAGAGGCAGTGGCCAGTCTCGCAGCAGCTGCAGATGTCTCCAGTACCCTCCACTGGAACCCAGCTGAAACAGAACCAACCATGAGACCTCTTCCTAAACTGGTCCCAACCCTCCCCCCAGAGGGGCCAGCTACTCACAGGCTGCTGGCTTTGTTGAAGAAACAGGCCTTGTTTAGGGAATTTGGGGGCTGGTCAACTGGGGAGACCTTCAGGTGACAGGTGATGTAGATCTGAAAGGAATATTAAACAGCACACCCAGAAAGTTTTATTTGTCCACGCAGAGCAGCATCACTTTGGAAAGTGTGAAGGAGTAGGGCAAACACCACATCTTACCAAACTTCTGTCATCTTTGGCAAACTTGAATACATCCACCACAAACTGCAGTGTTTCCTGCCTTGGTCTTGGGGACAGGAAAGCTGAAGTGGCCTCATCTAATCTCCCATCCACCAAGCACCTAGACAAGGATCAGAAGTCAGCAGCTTCCCAGGCAGCTCCAGCTGTAGACCATGCAGGCAGCAGCCCATCCCTTACCCATTGAGGTCAATCAAGGCATATCGGGGCAAGGAGTTCTTGTCTGGGGTCAAGGTAGCAACACACTCATCTACGAAGAGCCTTAGAGGGACATGGTTCTCAGAACTGACATCAGCTTGGAAGTGCAGGCTCTCCCCCATCTGGAATCCATTGGAGAGTCTCTCCGCACTCCAGTCATCTGGAAGGCAGGTTCAAGGCTACAGGTCACTTCTGATGAAGTATTAGCCTCCTATGTTCAGGCATCACCATGGCAAGCAAGGGCTGCCTTGCCACAGGCAGTTCTCCCTCATGGCATGCAAGGGACTCCTTAATCCAGCATCACACTCACACACCTCACTTCCACAATAGTCATTTTCAGCCCAGAAGCTGCTTTCTGCCCAGGCCATCAGCATCTGTGGCCGGAACCTGGCAGGACTGGCGATCAGAGGAAAACAAGGAATTCTAGTGTTGTACTCACCATTCATGAGGCGCAAGGAAAACACCAGCTTCTCTTCTGATGACAGGGTGGAGCGAAAAGGAGCCCACGTGGGCCTGATGGCATTGCTGCTCACATTATTCCTCCTGGAAAGAGAAACTATGCATTAATAAGGATGTCCCCATGACCCTAGGTCCACAGGAGCAGTCTACCTTATCTGCCCACCTGGGGTAATGGCACTCAATGGGAACCACCGCAGGGCTTGTTCTTACAATGACTAGGTTGCCTGCAGGAGTAGGTTTGTAGGACAAACTTGTTTTGTAGATCAAGGAGTCTGAGGTCATCTGGAAAGAACATGTTAAAGGACTGATAAGTCAGTGAAACTACTCTGTCATCCCAAGAATGTGGGCACTTCCAGATACCCAACAGTGTCCTAGGACACCTAGGTCCATCAGCAGCCACCCTATGCACTTCCCAGTTCACCATGGAGCTTTCTGTGCCAGAAGAGGAAGAAGGAGATGCCCCACAGGCTGCAGGAGAGGCCAGTCCCCAGGACTGGCACATTAGCCAGTGCACACACCAAGCAGACAAGGACTGTGAGCCCAGGGCTCTGCAAGCAGCCTCCTCCCAAGGGACTCCAGCCCACTGGATCCAGGCAGTCCTCACCCACTCCTGGCAAGGAGGGTGCCAGCACACTGGGACCCCCTTCACACAGGAGCCTCCAGAGAAGCCTCCGGCCCTCCGCACTGCCCTCTCACCTGCAGGGTGCTGCCACACTCGTGGAGCCCGGCCACAAAGGTCACCATGTCCTCCGTGGCGCTCATGGCCTGGCAGGCGGCCGGGCCCAGGGCCAGGTCCGCAGCCCTCACCAGGCGCCCCATGCCAAAGAGGTCCCTGTGCACCGTGACCACCATCTGAGCCTCCTGGCACCGCACGGCCACAGGGTGCAGCGGGGATGCGGCCTGGAGCTGGGAGAGATCCACCCAAGCCCAGGGGGAGGCCTGGGGGAAGGCAGGTGCCTGAGGCTGCCTCCGAGAAGAGTCCCCTCTTACTCTCAAAAACCCTGAATTCCTCCAAGGGGAATCCCAGGGACTAGAAGACACCACTCCAGCAAGCACCCAGCACAAGAGAGCAAACCCCAGGCTGCCTCCAGACCCCATCTTGGCCTCAGCAAACCCAGCATAGGGAGAGGTTGCTGCTCAGAGCTCTTATACCTGCGCTGGAGCCCACGCAGACCCAGCACACCTGGGGCTGCAGCCCGACCAACGCGGCCCAGCTGGGCCTGGCCCTGGCAGCCAGCGGGGTTGCCCTGACCAAGCTGGGTCCCCATTGAGGCTGGCCATCTTCTCCCTGTGTGCCCACGTCCTGGCTGGAGCTCTTGTCCCCTGCCTCTGTGCCCATGGCTCTCTGCCTCCGCTGAGGGGACCCAGGCCAGGCTGGGCCACCAGCGTCCAAGGACCCAGTGAGGCTCCCTCGAGTGTTGCTGCTTGTGAGCTGCTCCGCAGTGACCTCCTAGTGAGGGGGACACCACGGCAAGAGCGCTGGGACATGACAAGTGGGTTTTACTGGGTATCCAGCACAAGGCCCTCGTGCACCAAGGAGTTCATGCTCTCCAAGCTGGGTAGGCCCCCGGGGCTTCAGCCCCGGGGCTGCGTCGGGAGCGCTGCCGACCCCCTCCAGCAACATCAGAGACACG